CTGCGACCCTCGCCCGATCAGCTGGTCTGCTGTGCCGCGCCCCTTCCCCGCGTCCCTCCCTCCTCGAGTCTGCGTCGCCTCCCTGCCTCCCTCCTCCAACCCGCCCCCCACAGCGTCCTTGTCCTTGCCCCCACCGGGTCCTTGCCCGCGCAGTGACTCAGCGCCCCCACAGGCACATGCTGGGCCGCAAAGCCGCATGACGGACACCTGGGCCTTTCCAGGTGTGTTCCTACCGCAAACTCGCAGCTTTTCATTCAACAAATATCTACTAGTTCCTGCAGTGTGTCCAAGGACCAAGATAAGAAATGATCGTATTGCCAATTAGCCTAGTGAATTGACAAAAGGAATCTCTGCTAGCAGTCCTGATGTCACCAGATGACACCAGGTACTGCTGGATGCCAACAGTTGACACAGCCAGCTGCTGGTCACTGCGATCCATCCGATGCCAGTCCCCTCTCCGGTCCCTAAGTGCTTGTTCATGATTCTTTTAAAATCAGTCACTCGGTATGCTCAGTTTGCTGCAGCCTGCGGGATAAGTACAAGGACAGGAAATCTAGACTAAAATCCACAAGTACCTGGGAAGTGCTACTTGGGTAGCAACTTGCAAACTTGTTTCAGTGAGGGCAGAAACCAGGGAATCTTCTGGAAGGCTGGCTGTGAATGTTGAATATACAAGGGGCCCAGATACCTCCCTTTCTGATATTTCCCCACTCCAGGGTGCCCTCTCTGTTCTTCATAAAGGCAACAGTGTCTTCTGAAGTGGTGGGAGAGGGGCGGGGGCAACATGCTCAGGTTGGAGTGGGGTTTGACTGTTTAATAGCCAGGCAGGGCACTGAAACAAACTGTCCCGATCTGGTAAGGTGTAAAGGGGAGCAAATGGAAGCAAAGGGGGAGGAGCAGACCCCCGTGGGCTAAGGCCAACACCCCTCCAGCTGGGGCAGGGAGACATAAAGAGTCAGGCACTTCTTTGCTTAAATTGTGCTGCTGCTTGGCCTAAGCAAATACCTCCAGCTGCCCTTACAGAGTAAAAGGAGTTCCTTCTAGCGTTGCAGAATTCCAAGAGACGGGAGAGACCAAATGGGAGTCAGAAGGATTTATTTAAGTTCTATACATGGGCTCAGCAGACTCTGTTCACACTGGCTGAGTGTTAAACAAAGTTTCAGCTTTTATACATTTTGTGGAAGGGGGTGGTTTTTCTAGTGACATAGCAAGTGAATTTATTGGAACAGGACGAGGACAGACAGTTTTATAATTCTCATAAACTTTGTTTATAGGACTTAGTTGTCAATTTTACCTGTACCAGAACAAGGAGTTACAGCTACAGGGGAGAAGGGGGTACTGCCCAAGGCTGGGAAGGACTTGTTTTTCTTTAAGTCCTGCTTCATTTCCCCAATTGATGCTTTCTATGACAATTTTTAATAGAGAGCATCAACTTTACCATTATTATTATTATTATCATCATCATCATCAATTTTTGTCATAAAGGGTTGCTCAGTATAATCTACTGAACAGAGAGGTTGGTACCTGCTTAAGGCCATCAGTTGAGAGGTGGTGTGCCTGTTTATTGGAGTCTCTATGGCCGACTGAATGTTTTTGACAAGTAAGAGGCAGGGGGAAATTATAACAGAGGATAAGAAACTTATGTTGTTCTTGTGGCTCTGTGTCAATCTTTGAACTTTGGCTGTACATGGACTGATCAGCTGCTAGAGTGACCAGAGCAGGGCTGTCATCTTTGCTCGTGGCTTTGTCACAGGATCAGCTGATTTGCGGGGGAGGGGTCTGGATCCTATCTGCTGGTCTATTTGTTGAGCAGATTAGCCAGCTGTGGTTCATCTAAGATACAGTTCCTGTAGTAGTTTTAACAACAAAAATAAACAGGTTTATAATATGAGGCCCATCCATACGGGCCCTAGAGTTGTTGGATTTTATTTTTTTGACCCAAAGTCCCCAGGTTTGAATGAGTGTACTGGGTCTATTAAGCTTATGTGTATTTTTTTAATACCCAGCTATGGATGTCTTGCAGGGCTATTTTCAAAGCCTGTATTTGTTTCTTCAGAGACAATTTTTCTAATTTATAAAGATTACCCTTAATTTGACCTTTTTATTATTGGAAGTGGCTGGCTGAGAAAAGTTTCATAATGAAAATATCCACTTCGTTTGATGGGGGTGTACTGGACTTAGAGGAGGAACATGGGCAGGATTCGATCTAATCTCAAGTGGGTTTTTTTAACTTTTTTTTTTTTTTTTTAGTAATTGTTTGAGTGTCTGGTTCATGTGTTTTATTTTTCTTGAGCTCTGTGGCCAGTAAGCCATGTGATGTGTCTATTTTATCTTTAACATCAGTGTGAGCTCTTGAACTATCTCAGCTATGAATGCTGGTCCGTGGTGTGACTCCAAGGTCAAAGCCAATCCAAATCTTGGGGTGATGTCTTTTAACAGTATCTTGCATCCTTTTTGTTCAGGTGGGGAGGGTTTCAATCTATTTTGAGAAGGTGTCAGCAAGTACCAACATGTATTGATAGTCATAAACTTGAGGCGATTTAGTAAAGTCCCAAGTAGGTTTTTATATGTTTCAACTCTTGTTTCCTGGATACTCAGGGGCTGGGTGGTCTTTTGTTTTGGGTTGTTTTGGGCACAGGTTAGGTACAGCCAGAGTGATGTCAGTGAGCCATGGCACATAGAAATAGCGTGTTTTTCTTAGTAATGTTTGCAATTTTGTCTTTTCTATGTGAGACCCATGATAGAATTATTTTACCAGCTTGGAATTCAGAACTTTGGGAATGGCTAGCCTCTCATCAGCAAACTTTTATCATTTTAAAAATATACTTTCTAGTTTCTTGGGCAAGTCAGGCTCCTTTATCTGAGGAATAGCTCAGGGTCTCTGGGAGAGGAGGCTCAGACATGAAGAGTATAGCCAGGACCCCTTTTGGGCTGAGGCTACCGTAGCAGCCCATGTTGGCTTTTTTGTCTGCTTTTTGGTTTCTTCTGGCTTTTAATGTCTCAGTCCATTGATATATTCCACAGTGTATATTAGCCACCTTCTTTGGGGCCCACATTGTATCTTTGTACTTTATATATTTTTTCTAGCAGTTGAGACCTCTTTTTATATATATGGCCTCATGTACACACAATGTTGTAAAGGCAAATGTGAAATCTGTATAGATGTTAGCTTTTTTTGCCCTTTGTTCTTTGTCTTCTGAGCTGAGGTTTCAGTGGGTGGAGGTGGGGCCTCTACCATGGAGTCCGATGTCATCATTGCTTTTTGTTTGTTTGTTTGTTTGTTTGTTTGTTTTGAGACAGGGTCTCACTATGTAGTTGAGACTGACCCGGAACTCACTGTGTAACCCAGGCTGGTCTCCAACTCACAGCAATACTCCTGCCTCAGCCTTCCAAGTGCTGGGATTACAGGCGTGTGCCACCACGCCTGGCTCCAGTGTCATCATTGCATATCTTGTCCACTGGGATCCTTCCAGCAACATTTGGGTCTCCAAGTAGGCAACCTGTGAGATCTCTCCAGCTTGAGAATACTTCGTCCGTGATTTTTATATAGTCATGAGTGCGGGCTGCTAGCTTGACTGAGAGCAAAGTAGGTGGATTAAAAATGTTTATAGGCTCTAAGGTTACATAGAGATTTTTACTTAGGAGCCCTTAATATTGAGTCACTCTTAAGTTTTATAATCCATGGTGTCCTCTCTGGTCCATCAAGGTTATTACTGAATATGGCACTTGGATAGTCAGTTACTGTCCAAGAGTCAGCTTGTCAGCTTCTTGTATCAGCATGGCAATGGCAGTAAGTACTTTAAAGTATGGAGGCCACCCCAGGGCCACAGAGTCTCTTTGTTTTGACAAGTACACCATCAGCCAGTGCCAGGATCCTATGACCTGTTTCAAGGACCTCTATGGCCATTCCCTTTTGTTTGTGGACATACAGGAAGAAAGGGTTGGTTATGTTTGGCCGTCCTAGAGTTGGAGATTGGATTAGGGCTTCTTTAATTTGTTTGAATGGCTTTTTCTGTTTAGCTTCCCAGTGGAGGGGCTCCTTTACTTGCCTTTTGGTAGCTTCTTATAAGGGCTTAACCATGAGTGAGACGTTTAGGGATCCAGAAGCAGCAGAAACCTGTTGCCCCCAGAAGCTCTCATCTGGCATCTGGCAGTTGGAGTTGGGAGTACTCAGTTGACATTTCCCTTTTGTTACTAGAAAACCCATATATCTGACCTTTTGTTGGTAAATTTGGGCTTTCTTTTTAGACACCTTATGTGCAGCCTTTCAGAGCAGATAAAGAAGATCTCTGGTCTTGGAGGCAGGAAAAGGAGCTGCAAAAAGGAGCTCATCTATGTATCATAATAAAACACAGTCACTCCCTGGGAGAGAAAGGCCTCGAGATCAGTGGCCAGTGTTTCTCCAAAGATCACAGGGGAGTAGGGGAGTTCTTAAACCCCTGGGGAAGCCTAGGCCAAGCAAGCTGTTGTTTTGTTTTGTTTTTTCCTAATGCCTGTAATTGGTCCTCCCATTGAAATGTAAAAACAGGTTGACTGATTGGCCTCAAGCAGAAACAAAAAAGGGCTTCTTTCAAATCCAGGTAAGTGAAGCAGGCAGCACTTGCTGGGAGTCCCTTTAGTGTATATGGGTTTGGCACCATTGGGTGTATGGTTTTAGTAGCCTGGTTTACAGCATGCAAGTCTTGTATTGGCTTACATTTTTTAGTCCCTGGCTTACATGCTGGCAAAAGCAGGGTGTTCTAAGAAGATTAGCATTTTATTTTCTATAAGCCTCTTTAAGTGTCCCTGGATGCCTTGTATAGTTTCCTGGGGGAAGGGTTGTTGGTAAACTTGTGCAG